TCTTGTACCATGTTGCAACTTTATTTCAAAATAGGTCAAAAGCTGTTTCATCTGTATAAAAATGGTACGATCCCAGTTACCATTAAAATGAGCTAGTGCCCATACTTTTCGAACATCAATATGATTACTGGTGAGCATTGAGGTGGAAAGTGGTGTAGCACCATTATATCCCTTTTTTTGTCATGTGTCGCCGAATATTTGTATGTGTGATAGATACATTATGTGTCACTTCAATTTTGATTGCAAGTTGGCATGTTGTAACTGTAGAATTACAACAAACCAATTGCCCGAACGTGCTATTGTTTGTGTAGCTTTTTATGGACGTCTCTATGTTCAAATAGTGCCTGTTTCTCTGAGTTTTTTGAGGTCACATTGAATAGTACGAATGGGAATATTTGCTTCTTTGACATCATACAACCAATAATGTAAAAACGGTTGACGTTGTGCTTCAAGTTCTGAGCTGACAATGTATGCAAGGTTTAAATAAGAATAAGGATGGTTTTTCCTTTGTAAATATGATTAATGATAAGCAAATAGTAATCATGTAAACACGCATTTTATCAAATCAACTTTGCAATTCACGCGCAATTTTTTTCGCAACACGCTATATATTGTGGGAAACAGATCATGTAACAGCAATACAGTCATGATGTTTTTCGAAAATATACAATTCATCAAATGACATATATCACAATGATATGATAATATGAAATTGTTATAAAATTTAAGTGACGACTGACAATAATAAAAGAAATCATATCATAATGGAAGTTTGGCATCTGCTTCGAATTTATTAGTGTCCAATCTTGGACACATCCAGAAAAATGGTAAGACTTTAAGGCCAAATACCTGCAAAAGAGAAGGTTATATACGAATATTGTTTAAAATTAATGGCAATGTCCACACAGCCCTTTCATATTTTAGTTGCACAAGCATTCATTTCTAATCCAGAAAATAATCCTTGTGTTAATCGTATTAATGGCATCAGGTCGTAATATTTACAGACAAATAAATGACTTTGGACGAAAATATTGTTCGGATTTGGGTAGAGGTTGGCATCGCACAAAAATTCTTTAACCAGTTAATTTAAATTTTTAACTGGCAAATTCGAATAATATAACAAGAATGTATCTATCCAATCCAACTAAAATTCGTAATCCTTGTAGTAATAATAATGATAATGGCAGTAACAGAAAGCAATTGACACTTTTTCTTTAGTCAATTAATAATAATAGTTATAGTGATAATAATAATAATAATTTATTTATTTTCTTATAATCATAGTATGGATTCTATTCGAATAAAAATTGTTTGTTTATTCGTTATGAATTGAATATTCGAATCACATTGAATATTTATTCAAGTAAAACGAACAAGCACACCAATGGCAAAAATATTTTGGTTAAACCCTAAACTGGTGTCAAGAGTTTTAGATCATTGATTAACAATCCAACTATTCCTATTTATATATCAACAAATCCATTACCTTTTAAATCTTCTAGTTCTTTTATAAGAGGCCTTAAGGCTATTTATTAAATGTGAGCTATAATTCTCTTTTCCTGAATACGAAATTAAAAAGAGTGGTAAAAAATATCATTTTATTCAAAGAGTTAACTGAGCAAGTAGTAAAACTTTGTGTAATCTTTGGTGTGATATTTAATGATCATCATTTGACGAAAAAAAAATTTTTTTTTAATGGAAAACTATTTGATAATAGGAGGTGAAGGTTTTGTTGGCAGATGGATAGTAAATCAATTGATAAAACGTGGTGAAAAAAACATTACAGTATTTGATGTAATTCAACGATACTTTGATGATGATGATAAAAGCGAGGTAAAAATAAAACATGTAATAGGAGATTTAACAAATTCTCAAGATGTTGAAAAAGCGATTAAGGAAAATGGAATAACTTGTGTAATTAATACTGCGTCACCACCTCACGATGGTAAAAACGAAGAAATGTTTTGGAAGGTTAATGTACAAGGAACCAAAAATGTAATTGAAGCATGTTTAGCTAATCAAGTTCGAAAATTGGTTTATACTAGTAGTTCTAGTGTTATTTATGATGGTGTAAATGAATTGATTAATGCGGATGAAACTTATCCTTATCCTGATAAACATATGGATGTTTATAATGAAACAAAGGTATTAGTTAACTTTGATTTATTGGTTTATTGATAGATTAATATTTATATGTGATTTAATAACGAAAGCATGTATTTATTACAATAGGCTGAAGGAGAAAGACTTGTAATTGCAGCTAATGGTAAAAATGGTTTACTTACATGCTGTTTACGTCCATGCGGAATATTTGGGTAACTTTTAAATATTTTTGATTTGTTGGAAAAAAAAAATCTTAAAATTACCACATTATTAGCTCTTGTCTAATAATAACCATACTAAAATAAATTAAATCATGACAATAGTCCATATGATCGTCAGGCTATACCAGCATTGATTAAAGTGATGGAACGTGGACAAACCAAATTTCAAATTGGTGATAATACAAATTTGGTTGATTGGACTTACGTAGAAAATATAGCTTATGCTCATTTATTAGCGGCTGACAAATTAATAGAGGGAAATGGTGTAGACGGTGAAGTAGGTATCTTTTAAATGAATTAGTGAATATTATTATTCCATTTTCAGAATTTTATCATTTTAACAATTTACAAAAATTTTGAATATTAGGTATTTATTATAACAAATGGTACGCCAATACCATTTTGGGATTTACCTAGAATGGTTTGGGCACAATTTAATCATTACCCATCTTATATAATCACTCTACCAAAATCGTTTGGCATAATAATTGCATCATTAGCAGAATTAACATCCTACCTAACCGGAAGCACACCAGGATTTACTAGATTTAGAATCAAGTTTAGTACTAATAATAGATATTTTAATATTTCAAAAGCAAAAGAACGATTAGGTTACGAACCATTGGTTGATTTAGAGGAGGGTATTAAAAGGTCTTGTTCTGTTGTAAAATTATAATTTATTTGTTAGAGTTCTTTAAATATTTATTTGATAAAAGTTATTATTGACCCACTTAAGAATTACCAACTATTTCGTTAAATTTCCCTGACTAGGAGAAACTCCTATCGGATCTTTTTGATATCGAGAGTATAATTGTCCGGTATATGTTAATGGTTTGTGAGGAGCCTGTTTAATTGCTACGATTACATATCTTCTGGCTTCGTATCGTTTATCTTTACAACTTCACTATGCTCATAGCTTCTATACGCTTTTTCTATCATCATATCTTTTACATCATCACGACTTCTTATATCATATAGCTTCTATATCATCATATTTATTTTGTAAATGTTTTTCAGCGCAGGAAATAATAGTAATGATAAGGAAAATTGTTGTTCCCAAACCTGATTTTGTGATTTCATATGTTCTTGTTTTAGTGATAAAAAATGTATGGACATATATCTAATGCAGACATTTTTTGGTATTCCTCTGGCTGTGGTGGAATTAGGATAGTCCTGTAAATTCAATCATCTGGAAACTTGCCAAATTCACCGTGGTTAAATTTCCCCGTACGAGGTGAGATAGGTTATATCCTATTTTGTACAATTTCCCTATGATGAATCAACTTATATCAGAAATTTGCGAATCATCGCCCTTAGCTTCTTGTTGGTTGATAAATATTTTCATGGAAAAAAGTGCTCTTTCCGTGTAAAATTCGGGTACAGGAAAAAAAAAGAAAATATGCTGTTTTTCCGAAAAAAAATTTTATAGGACAGGAATGACATTAATCCTCTACTTAAACATATCAATGAAATTTTTATATATACAGTATTTCAATAATCAAGCTAATCTTTTCGATTCCATGCTATCACTGTACAATAAAGCTCCGAATGAGTCAAAACGAGCAGAGCCGGGTTTATATACATACAGTCAAACATAAAAAATTGCATTCGTTATACCAAAATTTTCAAGTTTTTAAAGGTTTGACTATATAGTGCACGCCATCCTAATACTAAAAAGAACAATCAAATTCTTCAAATCCCAAAATAGCAATGATACTCTTTTGTGTCGCGGGGCTATAAAATCATATGACTCAATCATTTATCGTATTCGTTATTATTATGAATTTGAGTATTCGAATTACATTGAAAGTTTATTATTATTCAAATAAATTTTTACTCGAATAAACGAATAAAACGAATAATTCGAATAAACGAATGATTCGGACAAACGAATAAATGAATAAAACAAATAATTCGAATAAACGAACAAAAACGAATAATTCGAATAATTCGTATAATTAATTTCTTTATTAGGCCTTCTTCATTTTGATGCATATTCTAAATTTTTATTCAATTTGTTATCTAATTTGTTTTTTTTAACATTTCTAGCTTTTCCCCAAATCTGTAGCTTACTTATTTTGTCTTGGCTTTTTTTTAATCGGAAGAATGTAAATTTGTTAATAATGTATTGTTTGCTGATTGCTTACAAAAAAATATGACGATGGTTTTCTGAACTGAATTTTATAATTTGTTCTGGTAACTTGACCCAATATTTTTCACGGTTATGTCATAATCTATCATAAAGTCTCGAAAGATATCAACCCCTACTTTGAAACTTTACGGTAATATTACGTAATACGTAATTATCGTAATTAATTACGCGTGACAAAATAATTTCACACATAATAAATAAATATATTCTTTGGTTTCTCTTATAAAAACACTTTTGTAGTCGAAAATTAAACAGTTGGGTTTAATTGTCCATTTGGTTATCAGAGCGGTATAGAACTCTGAGGTTTGCTAAAAACGGGTTGCATAGAAAATTTTTAGTTTCTTTGATTTCAAATAGCATTTATTCTGTATTCGTCCCCGTAATTAATTTCGTAATTAAGTTTTTAAAGAGGGTAAGTGGTAATTAATTACGATAATTACGTATTACGTATTTACGGTAATTAGGCAATCACCATCCCATGTATGTTCACAATTTCTATTGCTGACCACATTTATTTTAAACATATGGGACCCTCACTTTGTTTAAATGCAGAAGATGTTCCTATTGTACCTGCCGAATGTATGTATACCGTATAATAAATTTATCAATATCATGAAGATAAAGAGCCTATTACCATAAAATGATCGTAACAAGAGATTCTGAATTAATTTTGATTTTTTGAAATGCTTTACCAAGTACAAATTCTATTTCAAAAAGTTCAGTAACATTATACGATTTTTTAAAAAAGTAATGACACTTTTGTTATCAAACGACAAGAAGTAAAAGGACTATTTGGATGTCGAAGAAAATGATAATGCAAATTTTCGACCAAAAACTTTAGAAGAATCTATTGTCGAAAACGTTCATTCTTCTGCTTCAACAACCCCTAATGATTCACCAAAAACCTTAATGAGCCAACAACAGGAACAACGACTTATAATTCCTTATGTATCACCTCCGCCAGCTCTTTCACCAGTCTTTTCAACATTGTCCTCAACAAAAACTTTTAATCAAAAAGAAGATGAAACTGCTACAATAACAAAAGATTCAGATAAAAATTCTAATTCTAAACCTCTTTCTCTCTGCAATAACAATAATCATAATTGTTATCAACTTCTACCATCATCCTCCAATTATGGTGACACCAGTAATATTAATATTAATAATATTATTATCGATAATTTACCTAATGCGCCCACCAAACAAGATTACGACGTGATTATTGATAACATTAAAAATCAAATATTTTTAATTGAAGAATTATTTCAAAAAGAAAAAATTCGTTACGAAACAAGATTTAATTATTTGGATTCAATAATTGATTTATTTCTTCAAATGCAAAATCAATTAAACAAAATGAAATTGTAAAATTTAAAAATTATCTTGCTTAATATAGATCGAAATTTCTTTTTAGTTAGAAGACGGAAAAATTATTATTCTTTTTATAATTAATATTTACAGTAATATTGTAATTAAATCTTAAGCGACATCTAAAAGATACAGAACAAGCAGATTTACATACTATTAGCGAACAAAAAATTATATTTCTAAACGTTATTGTTATTATATGTTGTTCTCGTTAAAAATTTCAATTTAATACAATGTTTGTTATTAACATTTATGTTGGTTTAATTCGATTTTTTTATTATTTATTACTTTTTAGATGCGTAATAATTTTATTATTGCCTTTTCAATATTTCCATTGAAATGTAGGCCGTAATCATTGCTGCTTTTTTAATCGTCCTAATTTATCCCTTAAACGGTGAATATTTATTTAATAAATACAGTCATACCTCTTTTATATCCCCCCTTTTGTTTTGGGATTTTTGTGGGATATAACTAAGGTGAGATATAATTAAAGCAATTGATAATTCACGTGACTTCAATTTTTTATAAAATTTAAAAAATTTTATTTAATATAACAATAAAATTAATAAAATTCTGTCAACAAAGACTGAAGTTTTGCCTTATCTTCAATATTATTTAAACATTTTATTAACTCTTTAACATACTTAACATCTTTTTCTGTAGCAAATTCTTGTTCCAAGGATTTTTTAGCATTTTCAAGTACTTTCCTTCCTTCTTCTACAGATATTGATTGGTCCTTCCTTGCTCTCTTTACTCACATCTTCCCTCTTCAACATTAACACCTTCTGAAATGAGAATGTCTTCAACAATAACTTCATCAGTAGGTAATTCAGTTGTTATAACATCTGAATCAATAATAATAAATATTAAAATAAAACAAAGATAAAAAAAATATTATCCATAACGATTTTAACCATTACACATATTATCCCTAAGCCAAAACAAAGTTCTTTTATACATATAAAGAAGATACATTGCTACAACTGCAAAAAGAAAATTTTTTTTATTGTTAAGAAACAAGTCATCATCAAAACAATCAGAATAATTGATAACTAATTTCTTTTGTTTTTGAAAGAATCAACCAATTTTTTTAAAAAATGTCAGCAAGTAAGAAGAATACTTGATAATCAATTCCTTTGTTAAAAATACTGCCTAAAAAAAAGAATAATTTGACAATTAGTTTCTTTATCATTAAAGGAATAACCAGTTATCACAAAAAAAAAAAACAATAATTGACAATTATTCTTTGTTAAAGGAATAAACCAAATCACTACCTAAAAATACCTTCTTCATTAAAGGAATGCAAAAATTACCACCAAGAAAACAATAGTTAATAATTAATTCTTTGTTGTTAAAGAAATCAACCAAGTTGCCACCAAAAAAAACTGTCAAAAAAGAAAATATATTAATTTTATGTATATAAATTGTAAGTTACACATGTATATCATTTACCAATAAGGTTAAAATGGGGATAGGGATATAACTTGATGGAATATAAACGAGCATGGTGGACATTCGAATGTTGCACCAATTTTTTATGCCGTGTAACGTAATTTTTAAAGTAAGAAAACTGTGCGCTCAATTAAAATGGGTATACGTTGATATGTAACACATACTGTAACTTTACAGAGATATTCTTTAATTTTTTTTAACTTAATTCCAGCTGCATCCATTGGCATCCGCAATTTTGACATACTTTACTTAGTACTAACATTTCCATATGTTATCTATTAATATTTTATATGTATAAGAGTTAGGTTCTAGATTTCTTTATTGACTTCTATGATAAAATCAATCACCTTTTTTTATTAGGAGCATCTAGAGTATAGTATTGTGTCATGGTTAAGGTTTCTGGTCGAAACTGCTTCTATTAGTAGCCGAAATTACCCAAATACTTTGGGCAAAAATTATTTTTTTATAAGCCCAAACTACTTTTTGTTATTAGTCGAAATTGGGCAAAATTATTTTAAAGTTGTTTAAGTTAAAACAAGTTGATTCATATAGTTTTTTAATGCTCATGCTTATAAAAAATGTTGAGAAGCCCAAATTGCTCAAACTAGTTTGGGCTTTGAGAAAACAGTTTGGACCAGAAACCTTAGTGCTTACTCCCCACCCCCCAGGTAAGACATTTTGATCACGTGTATGACAATTATTTGCCTTTTTAGGTATCAAAAAAGCACAAACAAAAAAAGAATTAATTCGTGATCTGTGAAACATCTGCAAAATTTTCATAACAGAATTTGGTGCAAAATTTTGCAGATCACTAATTAAAATTTTCTGGACTCCAACTTTCACCCCCAACATAACCACCCTTTATGTTGATATAACTAAAATTGTACTTTTAACACATGATATGAATCTTGAAGTTTAAATATACAAATTTTCAAAGGGATTTTCTTATAAAATATTTTATGTTTATATGTAGGAATTGCTGGATTCCTGCCTAAAATTACTATATAAAATTTAAAGGTTTGAGTAAGCAACTAAAAATATTTATGATGTAAAAA